TGTTTGTTAGTTTGTTTGTTAGTTTGTTAGTTAGTTAGTTAGTTAGTTAGTTAGTTAGTTAGTTAGTAGTTAGTTAGTTAGTTAGTTAGTTAGTTAGTTAGTTAGTTAGTTAGTTAGTTAGTTAGTTAGTTAGTTAGTTAGTTAGTTAGTTAGTAGTTAGTTAGTTAGTTAGTTAGTTAGTTAGTTAGTTAGTTACTTAGTTACTTAGTTAGTTAGTTAGTTATTTAGTTAGTTAGTTAGTTAGTTAGTTAGTTAGTTTGTTTGTTAGTTTGTTAGTTAGTTAGTTAGTTAGTTAGTTAGTTAGTTAGTTAGTTAGTTAGTTAGTTAGTTAGTTAGTTAGTTAGTTAGTTAGTTAGTTAGTTAGTTAGTTAGTTAGTTAGTTAGTTACTTAGTTAGTTATTTCGTTAGTTAGTTAGTTAGTTAGTTAGTTAGTTAGTTAGTTAGTTAGTTAGTTAGTTAGTTAGTTAGTAGTTAGTTAGTTAGTTAGTTAGTAGTTAGTTAGTTAGTTAGTTAGTTAGTTAGTTAGTTAGTTAGTTAGTTAGTTAGTTAGTAGTTAGTTAGTTAGTTAGTTAGTAGTTAGTTAGTTAGTTAGTTAGTTAGTAGTTAGTTAGTTAGTTAGTTAGTTAGTTAGTTAGTTAGTTGGTTAGTTAGTTAGTTAGTTAGTTAGTTAGTTAGTTAGTTAGCTAGTTAGTTAGTTAGTTAGTTAGTTAGTTAGTTAGTTAGTTAGTTAGTTAGTTAGTTAGTTAGTTAGTTAGTTAGTTAGTTAGTTAGTTAGTTAGTTAGTTAGTTAGTTAGTTAGTTAGTTAGTTAGTTAGTTAGTTAGTTAGTTAGTTAGTTAGTTAGTTAGTTAGTTAGTTAGTTAGTTAGTTAGTTAGTTAGTTAGTTAGTTAGTTAGTTAGTTAGTTAGTTAGTTAGTTAGTTAGTTAGTTAGTTAGTTAGTTAGTTAGTTAGTTAGTTAGTTAGTTAGTTAGTTAGTTAGTTAGTTAGTAGTTAGTTAGTTAGTTAGTTAGTTAGTTAGTTGGGCCGGATGGAATTTTCCCGGCACTTTTGCAGATGGAGGCGGGACTGGTTTCCGTACATCTGTCACAGATATTCACTGCATGCTTAAAATTGGCATATACCCCAGTTAAATGGCAGGATGCAAGGGTAATATTTATACCCAAACCAGGGAAACCTAGCTATGCGACACCTAAGTCCTATCGACCGATAAGTCTTACGTCCTTCCTACTTAAAACCTTGGAACGGATAGTCGATAGCATGGTTAAAAGCAGCATACCATACAATGACCTTAAATATAAGCAACATGCTTATGTAAAGGGACGATCGGTGGAAACCGCTTTAAATGAAGTTGTCCACTACATAGGTGAATCTTTCGATAGCAAACTGTATACACTGGCAGTATGCATTGACATCGAAGGCGCTTTCAATAACGTGCACACTGATACCCTTATCCAATCCCTAGACCAGTTTTATGTTGACCGGGTGCTCCGTAACTGGATCAACTACATGCTAAGGAACAGATGGATAAGCTGCGAGATGTACGATATAACTATAAGGAAAAAGGTATTTCGAGGTATACCACAGGGTGGCATTTTGTCACCTTTACTCTGGGTCACCACGATTAATAGCCTCCTAAGGACCCTAACCGAGAAAGGACTTAGACCTGTCTGCTATGCAGACGATGTCGTAATACTTTTAAAGGGAAAGGATCCAAATTACTTGTGTAGAAGAGCTGAGGAGGCTCTGAATACGGCCTTGAGCTGGGCTCAACCGAGAGGCCTCAATGTTAACCCGGCGAAGACGGAAATCTGTCTTTTCACAAGAAAGACAAAAATTTCTACATATACTGAACCTTGCTTCTTGGGCAAGAAGATACCGGTGACAGACAAAGTTAAGTACTTAGGTGTAATACTTGACCGGAAATTAAAATGGAGACACCACATAGAGGATAGGATCAACAAGGCACATCGGTGCTGGGCGATATGTAGGAGAACCATAGGCATGAAATGGGGTCTTAGTCCTACTATGACAAATTGGCTTTATAAAAGTGTAATTAGACCAATTCTAGCTTATGCTTCAATAATCTGGTGGACTGCTTTGGACAAAAAGTGTAATATCAAATTACTACAGGGAGTTCAGCGTACATGCTGCTTGGGTATAAGTGGTGCCATGTGTACTACTTCAACCAAGGCTCTGGAAACGTTGCTAGATATTCCACCCATTGAAACATATATAAGATATGAGGCGGCGCTTACAGCCGAACGGCTCTTTACTTTAGGCGAACTGGCCAAAAACGGTTATAGGACACGTCATCAATGTATACTGGACACATTGGAAGGTTATACACATTCATCGGACGTGCCTGATCGCATACCAGACACTGAATATGTCGGAAACTTTGAAACGCTAATCCCAGATAGAATGTCTTGGTCAAGCGGAACATTAGAGCAAATACCAGTAGGAATCCGTTGCTACACGGATGGCTCTAAATTAGGGGACAAAGTGGGTCTGGGGTTCTATATTGAAGACCCAGAAACAGAAATATACCACCGTTTACCTAATCATAACACAAGCTTCCAGGCAGAAGTACGAGCAATAACGGAATGTGTAAATTGGATTAGAATAAATATGGCGCCCACAAGGCTTAATATATTTACCGACAGCCAGAAGGCAATTTGTGCGATATCAGGTGATAGAATTAAATCTAAGACCGTATTGGATTGTAAGAAAGCTTTAACTGAATACTCTCCCAGAGGTAAGGTTCACATCATATGGGTACCAGGCCACTCGGGAGTAATCGGCAACGAAAGGGCGAATGCAATAGCTTTAAAGGGAAGGGAGCTCGATGTAGTTAACCTGACAAACGCAAAACCATTCGACGCAACAAAAGCTGAATTAAAAATATGGATGAGAGAATCCCATAAGGCCTCTTGGAATAATGAAACGGTGGGTAGAACCACAAAGATTCTATGGGGTGACCCTGATGAGAGCAAGACGAGAAATCTTCTCAAAATGAGCAAGTCTGAGGTTAGTATGATGGTACGTATTCTCAGTGGACACACAGGATTACGAGCACATCTATACAAAATTGGACGTGCGAATTCAGACGAATGTAGAGCATGTGGAGAGGACAGTGAAACTCTGGAGCACTTTCTTTGCCATTGTCAGGCATTCGTCGAAGTTAGATCCAAGTATCTTGGAAGTGATGTTATTCCGGAAATAACATTCTTAACCAACACCGATTGGAAGATTCTTAGGAATTACGTCCAGGAAACTGAGTTTCTGAACATTCAGTAAACAATTTTTTTTTTTTTTTTTTTTTTTTTTTCTTGAATTGGAGCGCACAACAGGCCCGATAGTGGCCTAGGTGTATTTCTTCGGATTTGATGTAGTATACATCCTCCTATCAACCTAACCTAACCTAACCTAGTTAGTTAGTTAGTTAGTTAGTTAGTTAGTTAGTTAGTTAGTTAGTTAGTTAGTTAGTTAGTTAGTTAGTTAGTTAGTTAGTTAGTTAGTTAGTTAGTTAGTTAGTTAGTTAGTTAGTTAGTTAGTTAGTTAGTTAGTTAGTTAGTTAGTTAGTTAGTTAGTTAGTTAGTTAGTTAGTTAGTTAGTTAGTTAGTTAGTTAGTTAGTTAGTTAGTTAGTAGTTAGTTAGTTAGTTAGTTAGTTAGTTAGTTAGTTAGTTAGTAGTTAGTTAGTTAGTTAGTTAGTTAGTTAGTTAGTTAGTTAGTTAGTTAGTTAGTTAGTTAGTTAGTTAGTAGTTAGTTAGTTAGTTAGTTAGTTAGTTAGTTAGTTAGTTAGTTAGTTAGTTAGTTAGTTAGTTAGTTAGTTAGTTAGTTAGTTAGTTAGTAGTTAGTTAGTTAGTTAGTTAGTTAGTTAGTTAGTTAGTTAGTTAGTTAGTTAGTTAGTTAGTTAGTTAGTAGTTAGTTAGTTAGTAGTTAGTTAGTTAGTTAGTTAGTTAGTTAGTTAGTTAGTTAGTTAGTTAGTTAGTTAGTTAGTTAGTTAGTTAGTTAGTTAGTTAGTTAGTTAGTTAGTTAGTAGTTAGTTAGTTAGTTAGTTAGTTAGTTAGTTAGTTAGTTAGTTAGTTAGTTAGTTAGTTAGTTAGTAGTTAGTTAGTTAGTTAGTTAGTTAGTTAGTTAGTTAGTTAGTTAGTTAGTTAGTTAGTTAGTTAGTTAGTTAGTTAGTTAGTTAGTTAGTTAGTTAGTTAGTTAGTTAGTTAGTTTGAAAGAAGGATGTATTTTATATCAGATCCGAATCTACCTTCCTAACACTGCCAAATTTCCACTTTCCATACAATTTTCCATTGAAACTTCATTGGGTCCAAGGTCGTAGCCATTGTCGGGTGGATATTATCCATTTTTTGGATCGCTGTTCTAAAAAAACTTTTTTAGCAGGGAATATTTGTGAAACATTTGAACAGCTTAGTTCTTCGCCTTTAAGGTACATTCCTATTTTCATCAGATAGGCAGATGGATGAAAATATGATTTATTCACGTATTCCATTGAAATACTTTGTTAAAATAGTATGATGTGAATACCCCTAATATTTGTGTGTATGTGTGGATGAATATTGCATTCTAGATTTAGGCACATGTGAAAATACTTGTTTTGTATTTATGAATGTACGAAACATCTAATGTACGAAATAGTAAATATTATTTTCTTTCTTGTACTAAAAAGTAGGTTAACAAAATCTTTATGTTATTTATGCCATTATTTACGTACATATATTCAGAAATCTGTATATTTTGTTATCTAAAATGAAATTATAAAATATATATATTTATGTATATTTTAAAATATTATTATTTTTTTAAGCACAAAAGAATATTCGCCCCAAATGATGATGTGAATGACCAAACAGTAGTAAATTAGTTTCGAAAGTCTACACAACTCAATACGTTCAATTAAACAAATTTAAATAAATTAAGAAATATAATAAAATTAAAATCAAAAAGAAATCCATTAATTTTATTGTTTGTGAAAACAAATTTCCAGGTAACGCCAGACGGTTTAGCTGATAAGGGTGGCATTTGTTTGGGTGATATTATATTGGAAATCAACGAAGAGGACGCCACACATTTGACGCTGTCGCAAGCTCACGAAAAAATAGAGGCCTCTGGCAAGAAAATTCAATTCATGGTTAAAAGGTAAAGTACGTGTTTAGTTTTCCACTTAACAATTAAAAACTATTAGTGGCTAGTGCTTCAATTGTGATTTTGGGTAAAAGTTTAGTAGTTAGGAGTTATAATTTAACTCTTTAATTGTGTTGAGAGTGATGTTACAAGGGTTAATTATGGTCCGATGTCTGCCATAGAATATAACATCTAGTTACATAAAACTGAATTCTACAAAAGCACGACTGCTATAAAATTAATTTAGTTATGAATCTTTAAGCTGTATTCCGGAGAGACCAATTATATGGGGGCTAGGTGAAATCATGGACCGATATTGCCCATTTGCCATACCAAACTAACTTTATCAATAAGAAATTTTATAATTTGTGTAAAATTTCAGCCAAGTAGCTTCTACCGTGTTGTTAGGAACAGATGGACGGACATGGCCAGATGGTCTTAATTTTATGGGTCTACATTTGGTCTAATTTTCTCATAGTGCATGGTGAGGTGTTACGCTCACTATTGTAAGTCAGCACAGTTTTTGTCCCACATAATTCTATTGATAGAAAAGTTACTCGTATGACACTTAGACTCTATGTCTAATAGCTTTCGGGTACACAAATTTTAGTATCTAATTGATATGGGAGGTGCCACACCTATATATTGGTAGTAGATCAGCAACAAAAAATCAGTGATCATTTTCTGTTTTTCACATACATACTTTGGTTGTTCCATTTTGAAAACTTGTGGATCCGCCCGATATTCTTTTTTTCAAAAACCCCCACTGTGGGTCAGAGATACAAACCGATGCAAAATAATAGGCGGCAGCGTTGCAACCATTTTAGGTCGGCGGCTTATTATAGAAAATATCGGTGGCGGCTAAATTGTCGCCTCAATTTAACTTTTTCTTCAGAAATTTACCATATAAGCGTTTATAAATCTCTGTATAATAGTCTGTTGTATAGAAACCAGTCTCTTTATAATATTTGTCTGCAGAAAATGGACATTATTATAGTAGTTTTCACTATTTTAATATTAGCACAATATTGTTTGGCAGCACTTTTCAATTTGCCATAAGAATTTAAAATAGTGGCAACTCTGTTCAAATTGTTGAAATTATATTCTGAAATACATTTCCGATTCCAATCTTTATCAGCGGCTACGTTTAAGCCGGCTTAGCTTTTGAGTCGAAAAAAGTCGGCGGCGGCGCGGCTTGCAAAGTTTTACCGGCGGCCAGCCGCCGACGATTTGAATAGTCTCGGCTTGTATCTCTGCTGTGGGTTCATAAAGTTTAAGAAAATAAGTGATATTCAAATAAAATTTTTAATATGTTTTGGGAAAATATTGTTTAGTGCTTTAAATTAATTCATTTTATCTCAATTTTTTCTAGTAGCATGGAAGACGAAGAAACCTTGGAGGGCTATGAGCCCGGAGAAGAAAGATCGATTGTGCTGAGAGTGCCAAAACCACCACCACCGCCTAAAGGTAAGTAAAAGTTTAACTTTTCAAAAACTATAATAGTTTTTTATATGCATGCTAATAGCTCCCCCATTTATATGCCTGCTCTTCTCCTCCCACCTGGAAAATAAATGCTAAATCTAACCGCAACAAAAAAAAACTAAAAGAAAACTCAAATTAATTCTTATTTGTAGAATTTACCCCCACTCCATTGCTAGGCTCCCGTTGTTGGCATCCCATTATGTGGACTGAACCTCCACCACCACCCAAACCAAAGAAAAAGAAAACTAAAACCGAAATCGATGAAGAAGGCAACGAAGTTATAATTGAATTGAGCGAAGATGAATCTTCCGAAGAAGAAGAGGAGGTATTGCCAACAACTTTTTTTTGTTCAATTTCTTGTTTTGTTACTTATTTTTGAAACATTAATTAACCCATTAATCATTTTCTGTTTGTATATATACAACATGCAACATTATTTTTTGAAATTAATGGACAAATTACCCAAAGGAGTTGCCACATCATCGTATCGTACGCAATATCAGACGTTTCTTTGCCGAAGTCAAAGATAAAGATTTAAAAGCTCGCATCACAGAGGATATGTTGCTGGCATTGCCTTCAGCTTCCAAAGATAAATAATTTTGGATTTTTCTTTTCTTAAATTCAAATTGTTTTTTTTTTTTCATTATTTTATAATTAACCAGTTATACTATTTATTTTATTTATTTATTATTTAGTTAAGTAGAAAATCATAGAGAATAAATTAATAAATATTTTTCAAAATACAAATAAATAAATTTTAACTCGACAAACTTTTATAGTTTCCACAATTGAAAAACGTCTACAAGATTTGCAAAGAAAACTATCGGAAATTGCTGAAATACCAAAAATTCTCTCTTCCACTTTGGCTACCGTATCGCAAACTTTCGACAAACTTACCACAACCCTACCGCCATCAGGGTCTTTAGCACATTGCCGCCATCATTTCCAAAACGGAAATGATTATTGTTGCCCTCATTTGGGGGGAAATGAACAAAGACGCAAATTGTCTTATGACGAAGATGTCTACGATTTCGAATTGAGTGATGAGGCGGATGTAGTGGAAGCAGAGAAGGAAGATTTCGATGCAAAAGAAGCATATTTGCAACTTAAACGTTTTGCGGCGGCAAGGCAAAGAAAATCAAAGGATGTAACACCGGAATCAGATTATGCATCGGAAAATAATTACCAACCAAACGAAACAGACTGCAAGGACATTGACAATGATGGCGATGATAATGACGTCATCAATAATGATTATGATGACAATGCCAACAACACCAACGATGAAGATAACGATGATGACAATAGCGAAAAGAGCTGTGACATGTATGAAGAGTTTAACTTGTCTGTACTTAAAATACCTTTAGGTCATGTCAACGAGGAAAGTGATATTGAAGAGTATGATGAGGACAATGACGACGGCGATGGCGATGATGAAGAGGACTTTTTAACAACTACTTTTACATGGAATTTACGCAACAAACCAAAACTACAAATAAATGACACAGATGAAAATAAACGAGACAACGAAAATGATGATGAAAACAATGATAAATTCAATGTGTTACAACAAAAATCCTTGAACGAAAACAAGGACATGTTGGTGTATGAAGAAAGACACACTAATGCTGAAACACCAGAAAAGGAACAAAAGGTTTGTTTAAATTGTTTTATCTCATTTTGTGTTGAAATTATATTTTTCAAGGGTCAAATATTAGACTGCTACAGTATGCTAACTTCTTAAGTTAATGTGTGTTTATTTGTTTGTGGGTGTGTTTGAAGTCTATAAATGTGGACAATTTTGACATCCATATGAATATCTGGGAACATCATGGGTGGACTGGCCATAGTATTCATGGCACTTATAACGAAAACATTAAATCAGTATATATATATAATTAGTATATCTGAGAAAATATACAAGTCTAGTCTATAGTCTAGTCTATAGTGTAGTCTATAGTCTAGTCTGTAGTCTAGTCTAGCCCATAGTCTAGTCTATAGTCTAGTCCATAGTCTAGTCTATAGCCTAGTCTATAGTCTAGTCTATAGTCTAGTCTGTAGTCTACTATATAGTCTAGTCTAGTCTAGTCTATAGTCTAGTCCTATAGTCTAGTCTATAGTCTAATCTATAGTCTAGTCTATAGTCTAGTCTATAGTCTATCTATAGGTCTAGTCTATAGTCTAGTCTATAGTCTAGTCTATAGTCTAGTCTATAGTCTAGTCTATAGTCTCGTCTATAGTCTAGTCTATAGTCTAGTCTATAGTCTAGTCTATAGTCTAGTCTATAGTCTAGTCTATAGTCTAGTCTATAGTCTAGTCTATAGTCTAGTCTAGTCTAGTCTATAGTCTAGTCTATAGTCTAGTCTATAGTCTAGTCTATAGTCTAGTCTATAGTCTATGTCTATAGTCTAGTCTATAGTCTAGTCTATAGTCTAGTCTATAGTCTAGTCTATAGTCTAGTCTATAGTCTAGTCTATAGTCTAGTCTATAGTCTAGTCTATAGTCTAGTCTATAGTCTAGTATAGTCTAGTCTATAGTCTAGTCTATAGTCTAGTCTGTAGTCTAGTCTACAGTCTAGTCTACAGTCTAGTCTATGGTCTAGTCTATAGTCTAGTCTATGGTCTAGTCTATAGTCTAGTCTAGTCTCTAGTCTATAGTCTAGTCTACAGTCTATTCTATAGTCCAGTCTATAGTCTATTCTATAGTCTAGTCTATAGTCTAGTCTATAGTCTAGTCTATAGTCTAGTCTATAGTCTAGTCTATAGTCTAGTCTATAGTCTAGTCTATAGTCTAGTCTATAGTCTAGTCTATAGTCTAGTCTATAGTCTAGTCTATAGTCTAGTCTATAGTCTAGTCTATAGTCTAGTCTATAGTCTAGTCTATAGTCTAGTCTATAGTCTAGTCTATAGTCTAGTCTAGTCTAGTCTATAGTCTAGTCTATAGTCTAGTCTATAGTCTAGTCTATAGTCTAGTCTATAGTCTAGTCTATAGTCTAGTCTATAGTCTAGTCTATAGTCTAGTCTATAGTCTAGTCTATAGTCTAGTCTATAGTCTAGTCTATAGTCTAGTCTATAGTCTAGTCTATAGTCTAGTCTATAGTCTAGTCTATAGTCTAGTCTATAGTCTAGTCTATAGTCTAGTCTATAGTCTAGTCTATGGTCTAGTCTATAGTCTAGTCTATAGTCTAGTCTATAGTCTAGTCTATAGTCTAGTCTATAGTCTAGTCTATAGTCTAGTCTAGTCTAGTCTATAGTCTAGTCTATAGTCTAGTCTATAGTCTAGTCTATAGTCTAGTCTATAGTCTAGTCTATAGTCTAGTCTATAGTCTAGTCTATAGTCTAGTCTGTAGTCTAGTCTACAGTCTAGTCTACAGTCTAGTCTATGGTCTAGTCTATAGTCTAGTCTATAGTCTAGTCTATAGTCTAGTCTAGTCTATAGTCTAGTCTATAGTCTAGTCTACAGTCTATTCTATAGTCCAGTCTATAGTCTATTCTATAGTCTATTCTATAGTCTAGTCTATAGTCTAGTCTATAGTCTAGTCTATAGTCTAGTCTATAGTCTAGTCTATAGTCTAGTCTATAGTCTAGTCTATAGTCTAGTCTATAGTCTAGTCTATAGTCTAGTCTATAGTCTAGTCTATAGTCTAGTCTATAGTCTAGTCTATAGTCTAGTCTATAGTCTAGTCTATAGTCTAGTCTATAGTCTAGTCTATAGTCTAGTCTATAGTCTAGTCTATAGTCTAGTCTATAGTCTAGTCTATAGTCTAGTCTATAGTCTAGTCTATAGTCTAGTCTATAGTCTAGTCTATAGTCTAGTCTATAGTCTAGTCTATAGTCTAGTCTATAGTCTAGTCTATAGTCTAGTCTATAGTCTAGTCTATAGTCTAGTCTATAGTCTAGTCTATAGTCTAGTCTATAGTCTAGTCTATAGTCTAGTCTATAGTCTAGTCTATAGTCTAGTCTATAGTCTAGTCTATAGTCTAGTCTATAGTCTAGTCTATAGTCTAGTCTATAGTCTAGTCTATAGTCTAGTCTATAGTCTAGTCTATAGTCTATGTCTAGTCTATAGTCTAGTCTATAGTCTAGTCTATAGTCTAGTCTATAGTCTAGTCTATAGTCTAGTCTATAGTCTAGTCTATAGTCTAGTCTATAGTCAGTCTATAGTCTAGTCTATAGTCTAGTCTATAGTCTAGTCTATAGTCTAGTCTATAGTCTAGTCTATAGTCTAGTCTATAGTCTAGTCTATAGTCTAGTCTATAGTCTAGTCTATAGTCTAGTCTATAGTCTAGTCTATAGTCTAGTCTATAGTCTAGTCTATAGTCTAGTCTATAGTCTAGTCTATAGTCTAGTCTATAGTCTAGTCTATAGTCTAGTCTATAGGCTAGTCTATAGTCTAGTCTATAGTCTAGTCTATAGTCTAGTCTATAGTCTAGTCTATAGTCTAGTCTATAGTCTAGTCTATATTCTAGTCTATAGTCTAGTCTATAGTCTAGTCTATAGTCTAGTCTATAGTCAAGTCTATAGTCTAGTCTATAGTCTAGTATAGTCTAGTCTATAGTCTAGTCTATAGTCTAGTCTATAGTCTAGTCTATAGTCTAGTCTATAGTCTAGTCTATAGTCTAGTCTATAGTCTAGTCTATAGTCTAATCTATAGTCTAGTCTATAGTCTAGTCTATAGTCTAGTCTATAGTCTAGTCTATAGTCTAATCTATAGTCTAGTCTATAGTCTAGTCTATAGTCTAGTCTATAGTCTAGTCTATAGTCTAGTCTATAGTCTAGTCTAGTCTATAGTCTAGTCTATAGTCTTCTATAGTCTAGTCTATAGTCTAGTCTATAGTCTAGTCTATAGTCTAGCTATAGTCTAGTCTATAGTCTAGTCTCTAGTCTAGTCTTAGTCTAGTCTATAGTCTAGTCTAGTCTATAGTCTAGTAGTCTATAGTCTAGTCTAGTCTAGTCTAGTCTATAGTCTAGTCTATAGTCTAGTCTATAGTCTAGTCTATAGTCTAGTCTATAGTCTAGTCTATAGTCTAGTCTAAAGTCTAGTCTATAGTCTAGTCTATAGTCTAGTCTAAAGTCTAGTCTATAGTCTAGTCTATAGTCTAGTCTATAGTCTAGTCTAGTCTAGTCTAGTCTATAGTCTAGTCTATAGTCTAGTCTATAGTCTGTCTATAGTCTAGTCTATAGTCTAGTCTATAGTCTAGTCATAGTCTAGTCTATAGTCTAGTCTATAGTCTAGTCTATAGTCTAGTCTATAGTCTAGTCTATAGTCTAGTCTATAGTCTAGTCTATAGTCTAGTCTATAGTCTAGTCTATAGTCTAGTCTATAGTCTAGTCTATAGTCTAGTCTATAGTCTAGTCTATAGTCTAGTCTATAGTCTGGTCTATAGTCTTGTCTATAGTCTAGTCTATAGTCTAGTCTATAGTCTAGTCTATAGTCTAGTCTATAGTCTGGTCTATAGTCTAGGCTATAGTCTAGTTCTATAGTCTAGTCTGTAGTCTAGTCTATAGTCTAGATTCGGCATAACCGAATATTTGTTTTTAATTAAAATTTTAAATCTATCACTAATGTTTATAATAATACTTTTCCTTACATTTGCATTTAATTTTATCGTCACCTCACTTAATTTTATTTTTTTCTTATTTGTAGCTGGACAAATTGGAACGTTCGTGGCCTTGGGCAGATCGTGAGAAAATCATTTATAAGTAAATTTATTCATTATTTAAAATTTTTCATTTATTTATTTATCTTCCTTTCTTTTACATTTTTATTCTAAATGAGCATATTTGTTTAACTTTTCTTTTTGTATACTCTTCCAGGCAATCAACTTGCCATTTGGTGCCACACAAACCCTTGGGTTAATTGAACAACGCATACAATTGCTGGCCAAACGCAACCTTTTGGAACACATAAAAAAACAAACCAAGAATCCTCAATATTGATATCCAAAGCAAAAAAATAACGAAGAATTAGTTGTATGAGTAGAATAATATTTAATTTTAATTAATGCTGAATATAGTACTGCCCCTTTTTGAAAAAAAATGTATTTAGAATATTCATTCGAAATTTATATTGTTTGTAAGATGTTTTATTTGTTTTAAAAAAATTTAAATAAGAAATATTTTTAGCTAATAAGAAATGGGTTTATACATTTAACAGATGTTGAAATTTGGATTTAACGCGATAATATATTTATGTTTTGGTTATGGGTTCATATTTTAAAATAATATCCAGTGAAAATATTTGTGGTGGTTATCTAACCCAATATGTATGTTATTATACTAGTTCATATGAAAGGTAATGATAACTTAAAACTTTTATAAAATTTTTGAAAATTAAATCGACTCTATCCATCCACATAGAGCACAAATATATTAATCGGAAAAGTATATTACTTTTTCCCGAGCGTTAAAAAGTTTCCGAGCAATGCCTTGAAGTTTTCAATATTTTATCTAAACAAATTTTGAATTTTTTAATACAAAACTGGATATCCTCGATATAAACTAGTGGAGAATAGCAAGGATTAGTTAGTTAGTAAGTAGTTAGTTAGTTCGTTAGTTAGTAGTAAGTTAGTAAGTTAGTAAGTTAGTTAGTTAGTCGTTAGTTAGTTAGTTAGTTAGTTAGTTAGTTAGTTAGATAGTTATGTTAGTTAGTTAGTTAGTAGTTAGTTAGTTAGTTAGTTAGATAGTAGTAGTTAGTTAGTTAGTTAGTAGTAGTTAGTAGTTAGTATTAGTTAGTTAGTAGTTTTAGTTAGTTGTAGTAGTTAGTTAGTCAGTTAGTAGTAGTAGGTAGTTTAGTAGTTAGTAGTTAGTTAGTTAGTAGTTAGTAGTTAGTTAGGTAGTTAGTAGTAGTTAGTTAGTTAGTTAGGTAGTTAGTTAGTAGTTAGTTCGTTAGTAGTTAGTTAGTTAGTTAGGTAGTTAGTTAGTTGTTAGTTAGTTAGTAGCTTAGTTAGTTAGTTAGTTAGTTAGTTAGTTAGTTAGTTAGTTAGTTAGTTAGTAGTTAGTTAGTAGTTAGTTAGTTAGTAGTTAGTTAGTTAGTTAGTTAGTTAGTTAGTAGTTAGTTAGTAGTTAGTTAGTTAGTTAGTTAGTAGTTAGTTAGTTATTAGTGTTAGTTAGTTAGTTAGTTAGTTAGTTAGTTAGTTAGTAGTTAGTTAGTTAGTAGTTAGTTAGTTAGTTAGTTAGTTAGTAGTTAGTTAGTAGTTAGTTAGTTAGTTAGTTAGTTAGTTAGTTAGTTAGTTAGTTAGTTAGTTAGTTAGTTAGTTAGTTAGTTAGTTAGTTAGTTAGTTAGTTAGTTAGTTAGTTAGTTAGTTAGTTAGTTAGTTAGTTAGTTAGTTAGTTAGTTAGTTAGTTAGTTAGTAGTTAGTTAGTTAGTTAGTTAGTAGTTAGTTAGTTAGTTAGTTAGTTAGTTAGTTAGTTAGTTAGTTAGTTAGTTAGTTAGTTAGTTAGTTAGTTAGTTAGTTAGTTAGTTAGTTAGTTAGTTAGTTAGTTAGTTAGTTAGTTAGTTAGTTAGTTAGTTAGTTAGTTAGTTAGTTAGTTAGTTAGTTAGTTAGTTAGTTAGTTAGTTAGTTAGTTAGTTAGTTAGTTAGTTAGTTAGTTAGTTAGTTAGTTAGTTAGTTAGTTAGTTAGTTAGTTAGTTAGTTAGTTAGTAGTTAGTTAGTTAGTTAGTTAGTTAGTTAGTTAGTTAGTTAGTTAGTAGTAGTTAGTTAGTTAGTTAGTTAGTTAGTTAGTAGTTAGTAGTTAGTTAGTTAGTTCGTTAGTTAGTTAGTTAGTTAGTTAGTTAGTTAGTTAGTTAGTTAGTTAGTAGTTAGTTAGTTAGTTAGTTAGTTAGTTAGTTAGTTAGTAGTTAGTTAGTTAGTAGTAGTTAGTTAGTTAGTAGTTAGTTAGTTAGTAGTTAGTTAGTTAGTTAGTTAGTAGTTAGTTAGTTAGTTAGTTAGTTAGTTAGTTAGTTAGTTAGTTAGTTAGTTAGTAGTAGTTAGTTAGTTAGTTAGTTAGTTAGTTAGTTAGTTAGTTAGTTAGTTAGTTAGTTAGTTAGTTAGTTAGTAGTTAGTTAGTTAGTTAGTTAGTTAGTTAGTTAGTTAGTTAGTTAGTTAGTTAGTTAGTTAGTTAGTTAGTTAGTTAGTTAGTTAGTTAGTTAGTTAGTTAGTTAGTTAGTTAGTTAGTTAGTTAGTTAGTTAGTTAGTTAGTTAGTTAGTAGTTAGTTAGTTAGTTAGTTAGTTAGTTAGTTAGTTAGTTAGTTAGTTAGTTAGTTAGTTAGTTAGTTAGTTAGTTAGTTAGTTAGTTAGTTAGTTAGTTAGTTAGTTAGTTAGTTAGTTAGTTAGTTAGTTAGTTAGTTAGTTAGTTAGTTAGTTAGTTAGTTAGTTAGTTAGTAGTTAGTTAGTTAGTTAGTTAGTTAGTTAGTTAGTTAGTAGTTAGTTAGTTAGTTAGTTAGTTAGTTAGTTAGTTAGTTAGTTAGTTAGTTAGTTAGTTAGTTAGTTAGTTAGTTAGTTAGTTAGTTAGTTAGTTAGTTAGTTAGTTAGTTAGTTAGTTAGTTAGTTAGTTAGTTAGTTAGTTAGTTAGTTAGTTAGTTAGTTAGTTAGTTAGTTAGTTAGTTAGTTAGTTAGTTAGTTAGTAGTTAGTTAGTTAGTTAGTTAGTTAGTTAGTTAGTTAGTTAGTTAGTAGTTAGTAGTTAGTTAGTTAGTTAGTAGTTAGTTAGTAGTTAGTTAGTTAGTTAGTTAGTTAGTTAGTTAGTTAGTTAGTTAGTAGTTAGTTAGTAGTTAGTTAGTAGTTAGTTAGTTAGTAGTTAGTTAGTTAGTTAGTTAGTTAGTTAGTTAGTTAGTTAGTTAGTTAGTTAGTTAGTTAGTTAGTTAGTTAGTTAGTTAGTTAGGTAGTTAGTTAGTTAGTTAGTTAGTTAGTAGTTAGTTAGTTAGTAGTTAGTTAGTTAGTAGTTAGTTAGTTAGTTAGTTAGTTAGTTAGTTAGTTAGTTAGTTAGTTAGTAGTTAGTTAGTTAGTAGTTAGTTAGTTAGTTAGTTAGTTAGTTAGTTAGTTAGTTAGTTAGTTAGTTAGTAGTTAGTTAGTAGTTAGTTAGTTAGTAGTTGTAGGTAGTTATTTATTTAGTTAGTTAAGAGAGCTCTCTTCTCATTGAATATTCTAGAAGTTATAGATTGATTTAACAATTCAAGCGCAAAGTTGCTTCAATATATTACAGTAATTCTAGAATTGAGTAACAAACTACTCAGGATATTTTTACTGTAGGGTCTAATAGAACACTTGCCCACTGCAGTGGAGTGCTGTATCCTCACGTATGAATGTATTCCTCACGTCGTATTGGGAAATGTTTAATATTATGTTATTATTGTAATGGAAATAATAATACAAGTTTAAATACTTTAATAATCTTGTATTAAGTACTTAATGGTTAAAAAAATATGTATATTGCTATTTCCCCTAACTGTAAAATATCCATTTAAAAACTATCCTGTATTCATTCTGCTGAATATTTATATTAAAACATACATTAATCCTTTTTCTTTATTATTCCCAATTATCATCATTCATGGCATTTTACATTTCACGGGTTTCAACGTACACTACAGGAGTAGAGGAGAGGATGTAGTAATAAAATTTATTCGTTCCATTTGTACAAAATATGTTGAAAATATTCAAAATTTATTTAAAATGGGAACATATTAGAATATACTTATAAGGTGCTCCAAATAACTAAAAAAATTTTACGAAATTATTTTGGAGTTATTTTTGGATTATATGAGTTATTATTATATATATTATATTATATGAGTTCACTTTATCAAAATTAGTTTATGTAAATAGTACAATAGTCGACTCAACCAAATTTTGTTTTCGAATAAAAAACGTTTTTTTTATATACGAATAAAATGGAGGGAAAGGAAAAATATACAAGTTATAAATTGTTACTGACAATAGACTTTACACCCACTTAATGGGAAAATCATTTTTTATCCTGCTTTTCCATTTTAGGCTCGATAAAGTGCAGTTTTTTGTGGTTGCTTGCAAATATGCAATTTGAAGAGAAAAATATTTCAATGGGAGTAAAAAATGGAAAAAGTAAATGAACTGCTATGCAATATAAGAAATTAACGTAAATATATATGTACATTCGGTTCTGCAGAATATTGTAATCTCTTCAACTGAACCTAGAAAGGCCTAGGTTCAACGGAATATATATATCAAGAAAATAAGCAAAATCTACGGTTACTTGTTCTCAATTAAAAGAGATGTCATGTTTATGTCGATACAGAAGCAATGCTTATATCAATGAAAAATGTACTTCAAAGCATCATAATCGGTTTAAAAGGGTTCAGATATACGTATCTTTAATATAAATGTTACACTGTAGTCATACATAGTCTAGCATAACCGGATTAATTTTTCAACTTGTTTTTGTTAAGCTATTTTGTATTTTAGGTCACGTTATATATGAAAATATAAAGGATATTCGTAAACCTACACACATTTAATTGGAGGTGATTTTAAAGTGTATTCCAACTAAATTGGAAAACTGTAAGCCGTGACTGACTCAGGTCAATTACTTTGCAAAGCTTTCATAAGGGAAGAATTTTTCTCAGATATAACAACATTCGTTATTCCACAAAATTCATATTAATTTTTCATAGTACGTATAATATTTACTGAATTATAAAATATTTATACATCCATTATTAACTGTAAAACAATTATAACTTTTTCATAAATATGCATAAACTCGTTGCTAAAAACAATAACTATTTAAAAAGTTTTAATAAATAAAAGTTTAAAAATCATGTACACATACCACACCAATATTCTGTAAACATTACCAGAGTAATTTTTAGTTCTTCTTTAATATCCTGTGAATAACTCTAACAGATGTTACATAATTGTTTTGTCGCTTGTGGAAATGCAATGTAACAGTTTGTAAAAGGTTGAAAAAAATATATTTTAAATTAGAGAAAAAT